CCCCCCCCACGCACACACACAAAGGCCGATTTTGCCCACGTCACGAAATGTGTGGCATCGTGGTGAAATCAGGCGCTCGTCAAAATACTGATTTCGAAGAAACCGGCATTTTTCTGCCAGTTTTGGACATTTTTCTCGAATTTTTGCTTTTTTTCTCAATACCTTTTATGTCTGTATAAATGTATACATTTCTGTCTTGATTTTACTGAGAAAACGCTGATTAAAGGCACCAAAATTGCAGCTGTACAGTTTCTTTAGCTTTGGAAGTAATCGAACCTTGACTGCCATTTTCTCCCAAATTTTACCACTGAAATCAGGATACCCCACTTGCTTCAATCGCAAATATCTCGGCTTCTGTTCAAGATGGATTTGTTGTTTTTTTCAAAGCATGACTACTGAACAAGCTTTAAAATGAAACCAATAACCCGATGCCCAAAAATAGACGAACGCCTGATTCCATTGCATTGTGACGCAAATTCAGTCAATGTTTCTCCTCCTATTGTTGTCGGTACCGAGTGCTTTAATTAGTATTTCGATACTTTCTCTGTATGCTGAAACTGAGACTAAGAGAGGAGCCTTCAAGCTGTGCACATCCACAAGTGAAAGTGAAGCTCTTAAATGTTCAAAATGTGGCAAACTTTTCTTTGTCTGAATTGGTCCCATCGGCCACGGTAGAAGCCATAAGTCATCTTAACCTTTAATTTTTCCAATTCTGTTTCGCTTGAGAAATTATGTCCTCTTCTGTGGATGTATTGGTCATCGTCAGACTTTGAAGGACCATCTAATATTATTCATTCTCTTTACAAAACATTTCCCCTCACGGTTATTATTGGGGCTGGGGACCGTCACGTGGTGTTGACTTTTGTTTGTTTTTATAAGGGTTTTACGGCACAAACAACATTGACCATTTAAAGGGAAGCCCAAGTATAAAGTAACTATCGAGTTTTGACAAAGAATAAAGCGCAAACAACACATACGCTCTCTCACCGCCCTCCTCAGCCACCAGTGACAGGCACAAAAAGGGCAACACAGGAACAGGTCATTCACCCAGTTGCAGAATTCATGACACGACTCCTGTTTAACTGTTGCAGTTCATAAGGGAGTAGTACATGTAGGGTACATGTTTGTATTATTATATAGATCTAGGCCTAAACACTTGCTTTTGCTCTTTACTTCTTCATTCCCTGTTGCCGTTAAGTGTGGAGAGGAGTGTGTTGCCTAAACACTAATAAAATAAATTATCGTGATACCTTAAAGAGATATCATGGTGGGACTGAAGGCGCGCGTGTGTGTGTGTGTGTGTGTG